GTTCAAGGCTTACACAGTGAAAACTAAAAAAGTTTCTGAAAGAAATGAAAGACTATCTAAATATATGGAAAGACATCCCATATTCATGAATGGGAAGACCTAATATTAATATGGCAGTACTACTCAAGGCAATCTACAGATTTAGTGCAATCCTTATCAAAATTTCAACGACTTTTTTCATAAATGGAAAAACCAATCTTCAAATTCATATGTGATGGCAAGAAACCCCAAATAGCCAAAACAACACTATAAAAGAAAAACAAAATTGTATGACTTGCACTTCCCAATTTCAAAACTGACACAGTTAAAGTAATCAGAACAGTGTGGTACTGGTGCAAGGATAGATAGATGTCTATGTGGAATTGAATTGAGAGTCCAGAAAGAAACCTGTACATTTATGGACAAGTGATTTTTGACAAGTGTGCCAAGACTATTTAATAGTGAAAGAAGAGTCTCTTCAACAAATGATGCTGAGACAACTGGATATCCACATACAAAAGAATGAAGTTGTACTCTACCTCTCACCATATGGAAAAATTAAATAAAAATTTATCAATCTCCTAAATATAAGAGATAAAACTATAAACCTCTTGGAAGAAAACATGAGTAAATATTTATGATATTGGTCTTAAACTCCTGATCTCAAGTGATCCTCCCACCTCAGCCTCCCAGAGGGCTAGGATTACAGGTGTGAGCCACCATACCCAGCCAATATTCATGATATTGGATTTGGCAATGGATTCTTAGATATGACACCAAAAGCATCAGCAACAAAGAAATAGATAAATTATACTTCATCAAAATTAAAAGCTTTTGTGCATCAAAGAACATTAAGAAAGTGAAAAGACAACTTATAGAATGGGAGAAAATATTTGGAAATCATATATATGATAAGGGTCTAGTATCAAGAATCTTTAAAGAACTCTAACAATTCAACAACAAAAAGACTATAATCCAATTAAAAATGGGCAAAGGACTCCAATAGATATTTCTGCAAAGAAAATATACAAATGACAAATAAGTACATGAAAAGATGCTCAAAATCATTCGCCATTAGGAAGATGCAAATCAAAACCACAATGAGACACCACTTCATACCTACTAGGATAGAAATAATGATTTTTTTAAAACGAAAAATAACCAGTGTTGATGAGGATGTGGAGAAATTATAACCCTTGTGCATTGCTGGTGGGAATGCAAAATGGTATAGCCACTATGGAAAACAGTTTGGCAATATCCCAAAAAGTTAAGCATAAGATTATTATGTGATCCAGCAATTCCATTCCTAGGTATATACCCAGAAGAATTGAAAACAGGTACTCAAATACTTGTACACAAATCCTCATAGTAGCACCTATTCACAAGAGACAAAAGACGAAAACAACCCAAATGTCCATTGGCAGATAAATGGATAAATAAAATGTAGTAATACAGAAAATGGATTATTATTCAGCCACACAGAGAATTCTTTTTTCATAAAAAAGAATGAAGTATCGATATATGATATAATGTGGGTAAACCTTGACAACACTATGCTAAGTGAAAGGAGTCAGACACAAAAGTTCATATATTGTATGATTTCATTTATATCAAATATCCAGAATATGTAAACCCAGAGGGATAGAAAGCAGGTTGGTGTTTGCTATGGGCTGGAGGGAGGGGAGAATGGAAAGTGACTGCTTGGTGGGTACAGGGTTTTGTTTTGGGGTGATGGAAATGTTTTAGAATAATAGAGGTGGTGGTTGCACAAAATTGTGAATATACTAAATGTCACTGAATTGTACACTTTAAAATTATTATCTTATTTTACATGAATTTCACCTGAATAAAAAAAGTCTGACTGTGGATAGAGAAACAACTGAAGCTGGATGTGGGGTGAGGGACCAAAAACTGAGAGGCATGGGTGGCGGGAGATCACAGTGGGGACAGACCACAGCTTCTGAGAGGTGGAAAGCTATGAGTGTCTTTGAGGATGACAAAATGTAAAGAAGCTTTCTGCTTCAAATAAACATTTGAAGATGTGGTTGGTTGGTAAAAAGCAGATAATGCTGTTCAGGGGAAAGGGACCCATCAGATCACAATCTCTTAGCAGAAGAACCTTGCATTTTTGACTCAAAACCTCAGAATCAGCCCACATATATTGGCTATACCTACATTTCCAACTGCTGCTCTCTCCTGGACCTTAGGATTCTCATATCTGCTTCCTGCAAACACACTCAAGGAATTAGTTCCTATTTCACCCTTCCTCTAATCCCAGTGTGATTGACGTTCGATGGAATTTAGAACTTCACTACTAGCTTGTTAGCAATGCAGAATCTTAGTCTGAGTCCTAGAATCAGGATTTTAATAAGATCCCCAAGCAACTTATATGCACATTAAAGTTTGACAAGTTTCCATCTAGAAAGAATAAAATGAAGAAACAAATGAAATTCATTTTCTCCAGGACATCATGATGCTTGACTTCAGTTATAACTACTATTCTTTTGTTCTGTTAGTTTTGCCACCCAAGGCTTGAATTAGAGAAAAATGACATTTTTTTTTCTCAACTTTGTCTTTTCAGCTGAATTTTCAAAAACGAGTCAGGATGGCATCCAATCCACTCGAAAGGATGTAGGCCGCTGGTGAGTCATTGTCCTTCATGGTTGTGTACAAGATTGATTTAATTTTCTCACACTTTTGCCAAAGTGGTCTTCTCTCCCTTCGCAAAGCACTCTGAAGTCTTCCCTGCATCAGGGCCTTTGCACATTGCCTCAAATGCTTCTTCATTTGACTCTTCCTGTTAAACTTTTCACACCCCTTTAATATCTCAGATGGCATGCTGCTTTTCCACAAAGTCCTTTCTTCCTCACTCAGTCCAAAGCAGGTCCCCTTGTTTTTCTTTATCATGCTTGTTTTCTTCCTAGCCTCACATTTTGTAGTTATATATGCATTTGTGTGAATACGTAACCATGTGGAAGCTAAATAGCATAATGAAGTGGTTATGAGCTTGCACCCTGGGCCAGGCTCCCTGGTTTCCAATCCTAGCAGCCCCTGATCTCCTCCTAGGGCCCAGAACACCTGCATCTGCCACCTGCAAACACATTCAAGTGTGTTTCTCTTCCTACACCCTTCCCTCCACAACTGTGGGACAAGTTACTTAAAGCAAGTTACTTAAATGTTTCATGCCTTCTTTCCTCTCCTATAAAGCGGGGATTAGAGCAGTGTATATTTCATAGGGTCATTCCAAGAAACACCCATGAAAATGGGGAGAAGGACAGAAGTTTTAACATGAGGACATTCAGAATATTTCATTTGAGAGGCTACTTTTAGTTTGCAAGGAGGTAAAAATGAGGCAGAGGCTCGAGTTTCTGTCTCAGGTCAGGAAGTGTCTCTAATGAATCAAAGAATGCTCCCTCTTTCTGCATCTTATATATATTTCCCAAAGTTCTGTCCTCTTTCCACCTCTCTCCTTAGCTTCATTTGTTATCTCTATGTTGTTGACTGTCAAGGCTCCAGCCTCAGCCCTGGTCTTAAATTTCCAGCTGCTTTCAAGAAATCTCCTCTTTGATATCACCCTGCCATCTTAAAATCAAAATTGAACTAGCTTTCCTCCTAGTGGCTGCTCCTCATCTCTCAATTTTTGTCCCCTTCTTTGGCTATCCTATCTGAAATTGAACTGCCCTTTCACCATATTTCATGTCTCCTTTCCCTGCTTTATTTATTCCATCCTTATCACTACCCAATATACTATTTTACTTTTTATCTTGTTTATAGTTTGTCTCCCTTGCTAAAATGTTAATTTCATAAGAACAGGAATTTTTGCCTGCTTTTTTCATGAGGTATTCCCCCAAAACTAGAACAGTACCAGACATCCAGTAGGTGCTTGGTGAATATTTATTGACTGGCTTAATGAATCCCCTTTCTCCGGTTCCCGTTGAGAATCAATCTAGTTAGCACTATATCTATGGCGTCTCTTGCTTCAGTCTCCTCTTTCTCTTGCGCTGCTGCCCCGTTCGTTCAGCTGTCATCATTTCTCAGAACTATTGCAAGAGCTTGCCACATGCTGGCTAATGAAATCTGGGGATGTTATTTAAATTATCTTAGCCTCAGTTCTTCATTTGAGACAAGATTGGGCACATTCAGGGTGGTCTGGCCATAGACAATTCTTATTTTAAAATGGAGATAATAATAGTATAAATTCATAGAATTGTCTTGAGACTTGTAATGCACCTGGTGCAGCACCTGGTGCAGTCCTTGAAATAGAATAACCACTCAGTGAATGCTAGCTACTTTGGTCACCTGCCCTGGGCCAGGCAGTGCTAGCTTTCCTGTCTGGTCTCCTGTCCCCTCTCTCTCTCTGAATGCTATCCTGTGGCCCTAGTGGACCACCCAAACAGGATATGAACCTTCCTGTCCTCCATGTAATCGGACAGCAGGGAGCAAGAAGCTAGCTGGTCAGTTCATTCCTTTCTCACTGTGATACACAAAGTATCGCTGTACTAGCTAGCCCTGATTTGCATCAATGGAACGGGGAGCTGGAGACCTATTTTTTTCACAGTTAGCAAAAGATGAGAAGACTGTTTCTAGCGTTTTTGCTTGGGCCCAGAAATTTTGTAGGTTTTTTTTTAGCATTTTAGATGAGGATAGTGAGGCTTAGGAAGCATAAGTTACCAAATTGGTATGAGGACTCATTTTCTTCACCTCAGCACCCTTTATACCACAATATGCTGGTCACAAACCACAGTCTGATTTTTAAAAAGTTCATTTCCCATGCTCCAACAAATGATTCTCTTACATGCAGACACAGTTGTTCACTGTGAACCATCTCAGTCTCTAGTATTCAAAGTTAAGAGGAAGCAGTTTATTAGGCACTACCGTGAGGCCCCCCAGCTGCTCCACCTGCCCTCCCCCCCATCCCTTGGCAGAGAGCCAGACTGCTGTGTAGAGGTAGTTTAGATTAAGCAAGACACACAAAACCAGGGAGTCACTCAGTGACTACCGAGGTCTGTGTCAACATTTACCTGGGCCAAGGCAGAAGACAAGCAGGAGAGATGGGAACAGCCAGAACATGCTCTCAGCAGTGGAGGCCGGTGCTGGTGAACTCGAGGCAGTCCACGTCGTTGTCATTCTGTCATAAATTGAAAGTACTTATGGAGTACTTACTAAGACTTCCCCTTCCTCTCAGAGGCGTGGTAAGAACTTCTTCCCCCAACATTAAAAAAATCCTACACTCCTACACTGTTGGTGGGACTGCAAACTAGTTCAACCTCTGTGGAAAGCAATATGGAGATACCTTAAAGCGATACAAGTGAATCTACCATTTGATCCAGCAATCCCATTGCTGGGCATCTACCCAAATGATCCAGTGACACTCTACAAAAAAGACACCTGCACTCGAATGTTTATAGCAGCACAATTCATAATTGCAAGGCTGTGGAAACAGCCCAAGTGCCCATCAATCAAAGAATGGATTAATAAAATGTGGTATATGTATACCATGGAGTACTATTCAGCTCTAAGAAACAATGGTGATATAGCACACCTTATATTTTCCTGGTTAGAGCTGGAACCCATACTACTAAGTGAAGTATCCCAAGATTGGAAAAACAAGCACCAGATATATTCTCCAGCAAACTGGTATTAACTGAGTAGCACCTAAGTGGACACATAGGTGCTACAGTAATAGGGTATTGGGCAGGTGGGAGGGGGGCGGGTATATACATATATAATGAGTGAGATGTGCACCATCTGGGGGATGGTCATGATGGAGACTCAGACTTTTGGGGGGAGGGGGGAAATGGGCATTTATTGAAACCTTAAAATCTGTACCCCCATAATGTGCCAAAATAAAAAAAAATAATTAAAAAAAAATCCTAATTTAAAAATTTATTATTATTTTTACTTTTTCTGAGCCAAGTACAAAAATCTTTATTGTGCAATGTCAGCTGGAATTTTCACTTTCTATCTGCACACTTTTTCCATTTTGGGGAAATTATTTCATTGTGGTAAAATAATCTGACTTACATATTGTGGTTATGTAACCTAAAATTTATCATTTTAACCGTTTTTAAGTATACAAATCAGTGCATTAATTATATTCACGATATTGTGTAGTCATCAATACTATCTATTTCCAAAACCTTTCATTACCCCGGACAGAAACTGTGATCATTAAATAATGACTAACCATTCCCTTTCCTTCCAGATCCTGGCAGCCTCTAATCTATTAATACTTTCTGTATTTATGAATTTGCCTCTTATAGGTGCCTTCTATAAGTGGAATCATACAATATTTGTGCATTTGTGTCTGGCTTATTCACTTGGCATAATATGTTCAAGGTTTGTCTGTATTATGGCATATGCAGAACTTCATCCCTTTTTATGACTGACTGAATAATATTCCATTGTATGTATATACCACATTTGTTTATCCATTTGTTTGTCCATCTGTTGATGGAAACTTGGGTTATTTCTACATTTTGGCTATTGTAAATAATGCTACTATGAACATTGACATATAGGTATCTATTTCCTTGTGTTCAGCTAGAAGTTAAATTGCTGGATCATATGGTAATTTTATATTTACCTTTTGAGGAACTGCCAAACTATTTTCCATAGTGGCTTCACCATTTTACATTCTGACATGGAATTGGAGCAAGAGTTCCTATTTTTCCACATTCTTGCCAACATTTGTTATTTTTCATTTTTTGGTAATCACCATCCTAATGGGTATGACGTAGTATCCCTCTGTGGTTTGGGTTTGTATTTCCCTAATGACTAGTAATATTGAGCGTCTTTTCATGTGCTTATTGGCCATTTGCATACCTTCTTTGGAGTAATGTCTAAGGCTGTTGCCCATTTTTAAATTGGATTATTTACATTTTTTGTTGAGTTGTGGGAGTTCTTTATATATTCTGGATATTGATCCCTATTAGGTATTTGATTTGCAAATATGCTTTCCCATTTGATTTTCCACTCTCTTGAAAGTGTCTTTTGATGCACTAACATTTTTTATTTTAAGGAAGTCCATTTTATCTATTTTTTCTTTTGTTGCTCATGTTTTTAGGATCGTATGTAAGAAATAATTGCTGATTTTTTGCTCATGTTTTTAGTATCATATGCAAGAAATCATTGCTGAATCCAATGTCATTAAGATTTTCTCTGTTTTCTTCTAAGAGTTTTATAGTTTTAGCTCTTACAGTTAAGCATTGGATCCAATTTCAGTTAATTTTTGTATATGCTGTGTGGTAGGGGTCCAAGTTCATTTTTTGCATATGGCTATCCAGTTGTCCCAGCACCAGTTGTTGAAAAAACTGTCCTTACCCTCATTAAGTGCTTTTAGCACCCTTGTCAAAAATCATTTGACCACATATTAAAGGGTTTATTTCTAGGCTTTCTATTCTATTCCATTGGTCTGTATGTCTTTATGCCAATACTATGCTGTTTTGATACCTTTTAGTAAGGTTTGAAATCAGAAAGTGTGAACTTTGTTCTTTTTAGAGATTATTTTGGCTATTTGAAGTATGTTCACATTTGATATATATTTTAATATAAATTTTCTATTTCTGCAAAAGCATCTTTGGGATTTTGATAGGGATTGCATTGAATCTGTGGATTGCTTTGAGTAGTATTGTCATCTTAACAATATGAAGTCTTTCAGTCCATCAACATGAGATGTCTTTCCATTTATTTGTCTTCTATAATTTCTTTCTTCAATGCCTGGTAGCTTTCAGTGTACAAGTCTTTTGCCTCCTTGGTTAAATTTCTTTCTACCTATTTTATTCTTTTTGATATTACTGTAAGTGGAATTGGTGTTTTTTTTTTTAATTCTTCCTTTGGATTGTTTATTATTAGTTTATAGAAATACAACTGATTTTTGTGTGTTACTTTTGTATTCTGCAACTTTGCTAAGTTTTTAAATAGCTCTAACAGTGTATGTGTGTTTGTGTAACCTTTAGGATTTTCTACATGTAAGATTATGTCATCTGTGAACAAAGATCATTTTGCTTCTTCCTTTTCAATTGAGATGTCTTTTATTAATATTTCTTCTTCTTGTCTAATTGTTCTGGCTACAGCTTCTAATACTACATTGAATAGAAGTGGTGAAAGTGAGCATCCTGTCTTGTTCCTGATTGCAAGAGAAAAGCTTTTAGTTTTTCACCTGGAGTATGATGTTAGCTGTGGATTTTTCATATATGGCCTTTATTATGTTGAGAAAACTTTCTTCTATTACTAGTTTGTTGGATATTTTTATCATGAAAATGGGTTGAATTTTGTCCAATGCTTTTTCTGTATCAACTAAGATAATCAGGCGTTTTTTCCTTTCATTCTGTTAATATGGTGTATTACACTGATTGATTTTTATATGTTGAATTATCCTTGCATTCCAAGAATAAATTCCACTAGGTCATGATAAATAATCTTTTTATTTATTTATTTATTTTTTGAGACAGAGTCTCGCTTTGTTGCCCAGGCTAGAGTGAGTGCTGTGGCATCAGCCTAGCTCACAGCAACCTCAAACTCCTGGACTCAAGCAATCCTGCTGCCTCAGCCTCCCGAGTAGCTGGGACTACAGGTATGCGCCACCATGCTCGGATAATTTTTTTCTATATATATTAGTTGGCCAATTAATTTGTTTCTATTTATAGTAGAGACGGGGTCTCACTCTTGCTCAGGCTGGTTTTGAACTCCTGACCTTGAGCAATCCGCCCGCCTGGGCCTCCCAGAGTGCTAGGATTACAGGCATGAGCCACCACACCCAGCCAAATAATCTTTTTAATAGGCTGCTGAATTGGGTTTGCTACTTTATTTTGTGAACTTTTTTATATCAATCTGTAGCTTTATTTTCTTTTAGTGTCTTCATCTGGCTTTGGTATCAGGGTAATGCTGGCCTTATAGAATGAGTTAGGAAGTAGTCCCTCCTTGTTAAGGACTGCATGTTTATGCCTCTCCAAACTCATATGTTGAAGCCCTAACCCCCTATGTGATGGTATTTGGAGGTAGAGGCTTTGGGAGGTAATTAGGCGAGCTCATGAAGGTGGGACTGTCATGATGGGATTAGCATGCATATAAAAAGAGGAAGAGAGACCAGAGCTCTTGCTTTCTCTCCACCATGTGAGGATGTGTTGAGAAGGTGGCCAGCTACTATCCAGAAAGAGCTTTACCAGGAACCAAAGGGGCTGGCACCTTGATCTTGAATATCCCAGCATCCAGAATTATGAGAAATAAATTTCATTTGTTTAAGCTACCCAGTCTGTGGTATTTTGTTATGGAAGACTGAGTGGACTAATATATTCCTCTTCACTTTTTGGAAGAGTTTGAGAAGGATTAGTGTTAAATATTTTAAAAATGTTTGGTGACTAATTGAGCTATCCAGTCCAGGACTTTTATTTTTGGGGAAGCTTTTGATTACTGATTTAATATTCTTAGTAGTGATAGGTCTAGCCAGATTTTCTGTTTCTTCATGATTCAGTCTTTGTGGATTCTATGTTTCTAGGAATTTGTCTCCTTCTCAGCTCTATTCCTACCCTCCTGTGCCTTTCTCTGTTTTTCAGAGGGTTGGAAGCCTGTAAACTACATTTATCTTTCCTTTTCCAGATGACTTCTGATTAGATTTTATCAATGGGAGCTGCTGGTGAAAGCTGGGAGGAAGGAAGAAATGATGTGTTCCTCTTAATCTTGGTTTCTAGTGATGTCTTCAACAGTGGCAACAGCAGTGGAAGATGGTCCAGCTGCAGGGTTCCTGATCTAGCAGTGCAGAGTCAGTGAGCATTCCGGGAGTCTTGGCAATGTGGTACTTCTAGGCTGAGGCTTTTTGATGGTGGCAGCTGCAGTGGTGAGTGACTTTTGCCTTTTAGGCTCTTATAATTTTGATGAGACTGTGAACTCCTGGAATCCTGCAAGGCAGCAGCACTGGCTCCAAAGGCAAATTTCTTTGGAAGTGATATCAACTTCCCGTATTTATTGTTTGGTGACCTCAGCTTCCTTGTTTTATTCCTTCATCCCTTTTGTAATTAGTTTCCCGTATTCACTTTGCTGAATTTGCCATATTTAACATGGTTTCGGTTTTCCTAACGGGACATTGACCGAAACACCTTCTATTTTTAGCTTGCTAGTAATTTTGTTTTTGATGAGTCATGGGTGTGGAATTTTATCAAATATATCTTGTGGAATCTGTCAAG